CTCGNNCGCTCGAGGGTGGTCGAGTAGGTGGTTTGCTTGCGTTCGAACAGTTCGGCCCCGGGTTCGACGATTGAGCTCGCCTAATGAGACAAAACAGGTTCGAAACAGCTTTACAGTGCTTTATAGCTTTGCAGTTCACCCTTCCTTTGCTCCGTGTGTGCGATGAAATTCATCATGCACCCTACACTTCATTCGTCCTGTCCTGTTCGGCACCGACTGATCAAAGAGCGAGTCTGAACGTTACCCACTCTGGTTGAGTTTGGAGTGCATCGGTCACCACACTGTATGCGCTCAACCGATTCCACTGATACGCGCTATGATAGAATGAGTTGTTTTTCGGTTTTCATCATCATCATACTACTGCTGTGGTAATGGATTACTCATTAATGAGAGTAGTACGAAAACCTTGAGTTCCTTATGACGACTCGGCAGTGCATTGCAGTGGATTCCGTGTTTGAGCTACAAAATCCGTGAACAGACCGTCTGATCACCCGTTTCGGACCTACTTGTCAGAGACATTCATGTTCTTATGGTATTTTGCCCATTAGTGTCCGATTGGATTCCCGACTATTATATCATATCAGTATTCTATACTGCCACTAATAGCCGAACTCCGCTTCCCAGATTTTTTCTAATGAAGTTAGCTTTGTTCCATTTTCCATAGCTGCTTATTCGCGAGTATCCAGTTGGCTCAACCCTATCACCATGCAAACAAACTGAAATTTCCCATTCTATTTGAACAAATTCAATTGTTATTACTCGAAAAAGACATTCCTTCCTATGTACTAATCAATATTTACGTTGTCAATTTGTCAGGAATTGTTTTATTTTCTTTGGTTTCACAAACCTGTTTAGTTCTATCACTTCAAACCCCATGAAGACTCACTAGTTCTTCTCCTTCCGTGTCACAAATTGGAAAGTTCGGACAAAGTTGCTACGTCCAACTGGGTATGAAGGTTAGGTGTTTCGCCTAAATACCAATATCCTTGAATGTCGACTAACACAGTGAGACATTTTTGATCTTGATGAATATTCCAGACAGTTCGTTCATTATTGTCGTCTGATGTGGTATCGTGAACGACGTGCCCAAGTCTGTTTTGTTGCTTAGTTAAGATTATCGTTCCAAAGAAATTTATCAATGTGGTTAAGTTTAGGTGGCGGGGAGGGGGGAATTGTCGAACATATCTGATCAGATTTTCAACTGCCTTCGTTTATGGATTATTTGGGTTTAGACAGCGATCTAAACAAAAAAATTACATCGTGTTCGCTACATTTGCTCGAATCCTATAATCAATCAACAATGCTGTACTTATCACCAACACTCCTTCAAAACTGTTTCATGGTTAGTTCTAACTCGACGGAAAGTGGGTAACCTTTCATGAAATGCAGTGCACCCTCACCGGTGTGTAAACAATAGCTAGTGAGGCGAATTGCAATATTAGTTTCCAAAATATAAATAATTCTTCTTTCGCTTCCTATTCACGTAACCCGTGAGAGTGATCAATGTGCCCGTACTCTCAAATTTGTTGTTTCTGTTGGTGGTGGTGTTGGTTGTATCCGCTTTGTTACATTTAGACTGTGGTATCATGCTAATAACGAACATGTGAGTTTTGATGAATCGCCTTCTCTCTCTCTCTCTCTCTCTCTTACACACACGCTTTCGCATCATCAATATCCGGTTGCAACTTTTATATTTCCTCGAGCAATACGAAAAACAACTATGATGTATTCGCATGGTCGACTATGGTCATTTTCAGTGATATTCAGTCGCTCTGTATTTTCCTCACACCTCAACCAATTGGACACTGCTTCTCTCTATTTTCTTCTCTACTCGAGATTCAAACTGCCCCCTCCCTCCCAAATCATACCACAAATGTCTATTCAACGTGCAACAGAGAGAGAGAGCAACAGTTATTTTACCCTAACCTGTTCCATCGCGCGTAGGCACATACACGGAGTGAAAACCTTCTAGTTCTTTTTCCTCTGAAAACAATATAGTAAAACAATCTGTCTCAAGGTTAGGCAGCTTCCGATCCAATATTGCTGATCGTTATCACATCTGTTTTCCCAAGTGTAACTGAAAAATTTTCAGGGATATTCTCGTGGGTGTTATGTTTTGCGCACTCTCGATTAAGCTCTGCGATCGACTAAAATATGAACTGAAAAAGCTTGGAAGCATCCACTGTGCACCTGTTCCAGTTAAGTACGATGATATCAGCAACCTGTGCGTTCCTCAACGCCAAAGGGGATCGAATTCGAGACCCTTTTTATTTATTGAATATACAAATTTACAGTCAACATTCAGGAAGGTGAACCGCGGCCATACAAAGGCTGTCTGGGAAACAGATGATAGCAACTGATTCGCAAATATACGATTTACTATGTTGATCGATTATTTGAACTATTCGATGGTAAACATTGTCTCAGTGACCACAACACCCCTTCGTGGCAACACTTGACCGGTTTCTCCATCGTCACCGATCATCAGGTGTGTATCCAACAGTTCTTTCTCGAATTTCTATTCAACTCTCAGAGGTATTCGTGGTGAAACGCATGTTGAGCGTGTATCTACAAGGGAAACCTGAACTTCTCTATTACCGGCCGGCCAAATTAGAAAATGGTTAAAAATATCGCAAATAATCACTTGTTTTCCTTATTATCTTTTTGTATCTTCCATGAAGTTCCAGGTGGTTTTATATAAGAAGTAAAATGATAGTGTTCTTGTGGTATCCAAAAATCAACCTCTGTACATCGATTT